GAACGAATGTGCCAATAGGTGATGTGCCAGAAAACTAGATGGCCATGTACCAGTCTGAACCACAAGACACCTGGTTGTTACATCATGGGATGTTCTGCTTTGACCACAGGTTGCCATGTACACATGTTTGCATAGATGCTAATGAGAATAAGGGGCAGTAAGAGAACAACCTCTGCAAAGCAGGGCACCCAACCTTTACGCGACGTGCATGTACAGATATGGAAAAGGAGGGTTGGAACCCTCATGCATATGCATAAGGTGGTGGGCATGGTCAAAACAACAAGGTAAGAGAGATTCCCTGGTTGGGCTAAAGGGGGAAGACCCCAGCAGGAACCACCCCTTTGTAGATGACTACCTGTTGGGAGATCCATTGGACTCTGTAAGATCTTTGGGATCAGAGTGTGAATATGGTTTTAGGCATTCCATGGACTTCCTTAGGGTTTATGCATTCGCTGGTAATTGCAACTTGCATCATTTGCTTAATAAAACTTCTAGAGCAGACGAGACTCCGAACTTGTGAGTGTGTTTATGGTCCCTGTCCTCATTTTTTGTGCATTCATAGAGCCTCCCAATCTCAGAAAATCACTAAAGGTGACTGTCAACTTGTTGAGCTTGAAACTTTAACACCAGGAGCCGAACTCACTGTGGCTTCAACCAGAACCATTAATTCAAATAGTGACTACATTGTATGTGTTTGTGTGTGCATTGGTGGGTGTGTATTTCCATGTGCCTGTGTGCATGCTTTTTGAGGTGCAAGTGTTCATGGTTGTGTGCACAGCTTTGTGTGTGTGTGTGGATGGCTGTGGCATGTCATTCACTTTTCCTTTATAGCTGATGATTCTTCCAGCTGGAATCATAGGACATTAATAAAGTTCCCAGACGTGAGGCCTCTCTGTGTGAATACTACCTGCTGCAGCCAGGCCCCTGCAATAAACCCCCAAAGGCTGAGTTTGTTCTTTGGTTTTTTTCCCTGATGATGAAATGATAAGAGTCCCTAGGACGATCATCACAATGCTGTGCCTGAAATCCACAAGCATCCGACTGCGTCCCAGAGCGGGGCTTGGTGCTGGGTTTGTCTGTACAGCACCTAGAGCATGGGTCCTGCTGTCGCTTGGCCCCTCGGTCACATCTTACTATAAATAAAGAATAATAAAGCTCTCTGCCCACAAGGTGACAGCACCACTCCAGAGGAGGAAGCCGTGTGAAGAACAGCAGCAGGGAGCTCTCCCTGGCCAAGGGGATGAACTGTCCTAAACCCAGCAACAAAGCAGCTGGTCCTGACTGTGCCCTGTCCCCAGGGAGAGAGAAAAATTGCCAGGCCCGGCGAAGGAGAGAGAATGATCTCGAGGCCTGGAGTGGAGGGCTGACCCGCCCCTTTAGGGACTTCCCAGTTGAGGGACATTTTGGCTGAAACCAAATCCTGAGCCCCCCAAATCCCATGGGCCTTTTGGTCAGTTGCAGCACTTGGGGCTGATCCTCCAGGCCATTGAGCTGCAAGCTTCCCTCATATCCCTGGGAGCAGCGGGTGCTCAGCGTTGGGCAGAGCACAGGCCAGAGACCCTCACCCAGGGTTCCCTGCATCCAGCCCTGACCTCATGTCTTTCAGAAAGCAACAACCAGTGATGGAGAATCCAGCTGGCCTAGGTAGGCTGAGGGGATGAGGCCAGGCTCCTCCTCACGCCGACCAGTCACTCCTCTGGGGTTGAAGTTAGTGCGACGTATGCGAGAGGGTAATCAGGGCCCAAGCTCATGGAGTCAATGCCTGGATCTGAGCAAGGTAGGACCGTTCTCCCTGCTCCGGGTAACTGAGCAGCCCCACCTTTGAGCACCAGGAGAGGCAGCTCCAAAGGGCTTTATGTGGCTGGGGCAGAGCATGCCACGGGCATCAGGACAGCGCAGCCAAGCTGGGCACGTGGTGAAGCGCTCTGGGTAGCGGAGCCACCATCTGCTGTGGGGAGAGCCGAAGAGGCTGCGCAGGAAAAGCACCACTGACGGGAGTCCGGGCACATGGAGAGCTCAGCGCTTTGGGGGAGCTCTGCCTGGGGTGGGTTCAGGTAGCACGTTATCCCTGGGCAGGGCGTCGGCAGCAGGGATCGTACCTGTCACCTCTGTGCCTTCGCACGACCCTCTGCTGCCTGAGCCAAAAGGCCCAGCTCCGTAAGGCTGGGCTGTAACAGGCTCGTTAGCCTCTCTGTGTGGCCTCGGCACCACTGGAGGGCCAGAGCACCTCCCGGCATGAGTAATAACCACAGTCGCCCCCTCCAAGGTCTGGCTCAGACGAGCTCTGCCTGGCATCACTGGCTTTGCAGTGAGCCAGTCAGCTCCAGGGATGTAGGGCAGGTCAGCAAACCTCCCTGACTCTGGGAGCAAACCTGGTGTCATAAATATAAAGGGAAGGGTAAACACCTTTAAATCCTTCCTGGCCAGAGGAAAAATCCTTTCACCTGTAAAGGGTTAAGCAGCTAGGATAACCTCACTGGCACCTGACCAAAATGACCAATGAGGAGACAAGATACTTTCAAAGCTGCGGGAGGGAGAAACAAAGGGTTCTCTCTGTCTGTGTGTTGTTTTTGCTCGGACCAGAGCAGGAATGCAGGTCAGAACTCCTGTAAAGGGCTAATAAGCAATCTAGTTAGATATGCGTTAGATTCTGTTTTGTTTAAATGGCAGATAAAATGGGTTGTGCTGAATGGAAAGTATATTCCGGTTTTTGTGTCTTTTTGTAACTTACGGTTTTGCCTAGAGGGATTCTCTATGTTTTGAATCTGATTACCCCTGAAAGGTATTTACCATCCTGATTTTACAGAAGTGATTCTTTTACCTTTTCTTCAATTAAAATTCTTCTTTTAAGAACCTGATTGCATAGGTGAACACAGACCCAAACCCTTGGATCTTAACAACAATGAAAAAGCAAATTGGTGAGGATTTTTATCAAGCCTTCCTCAGGAAAGGGGGTGTAGGGTTTGGGAGGATTTTAGGGGTAAAGACATTTCCAAGCGAGCTCTTTCCCTGTTATATATTTGTTAGACGCTTGGTGGTGGCAGCAATAAAGTTCAAGGGCAAAAGGTAAAATAGTTTGTACCTTGGGGAAGTTTTAACCTAAGCTGTTAAAAATAAGCTTAGGGGGGTTTTCATGCAGGTCCCCACATCTGTACCCTAGAGTTCAGAGTGGGGAAGGAACCTTGACACCTGGGCTGGGGCTCAGGGGCATGAAGAGCCCGGGCCAGGCAAGGCCCATGTCTGGTGGGGCCATTGTGACACCCAGATGCCAGCGAGAACTTACAGGGGCTGGGACAGCTCCAGGGTCATGTTCTGTGTTCGCCGGGTTCTAGGCCTGGCGGGCGACTCTCCATCGGAGACAATGGAGACCTGCATGCAGCCCAGGCCCTAGTTCAGCCTGTGACCCCTCCATCAGCTGCTCACTGTGGTTATTGCTCCTCAGACTGGGAGCTCCTTGGGGCAGGGACCGTCTCTCACTAGGGCCTTGCAGTGTCTGGCACGATGGGGCCCTGATCCTGGTCATGGCCTTTGGATGCTACCACTATACTAGCGATCATAAATCCTTCTCAGCAGAAAGGAGTCGGTATTCACAGCTCCCGGCCCACCCTAAGCCATGTGGTCTGTTTCTGTTCACTGACTGGATGGGGGGTAATTCTAGGAGTCAGGTCTTTGTGTGAACATCTGACACAGTCACTAGAAATCCAGGGTGTCTGTGAAAGATCCTGGGGTAAAGTGGCGCCAGGATCTTTGTGGGGAGTGGAAACCAACAGAGCCAGAAGGGCACAGAGCACTGGGCTAAACATTCAGAAGAATGTTCCTCAGTCATGGTGAAAATCCTGGGCTGCTGAATCTATGGGAGTTTTGTCATCAACGTCAGTGAGGCGAGGAGTCCATCCTCCATGTTCGCAGCATTGGGGCAGTTCTGGCCCATGAGATTCAGCCTCCTTTCAGCCTAAACTCCTCACAGATCCACTCCCATGAGGTAGCCTGGCGCCTTGGGTCTGGGTAGCAATGGGTGCTATCTCTGACTGTAATGACATGGGGACGGTCCATGAAAGTGAAAGGTGAAGACTTCAGCACTGATCAAAGGAAATGCTTTCTTGCTCACTGAGTCAGACTGTGGAACTCACTGCCACATGATGTCATTGAGACCAAGAATTTAGCAAGATTCATTTAGGGATTGGACCTTTATCTAGATAACCAGAATAGCCATGTAGTATTGGAAGGGAGACAAAACCAATGCACACAGCATCTCAGTGCTGGCTTTGGCTGCGTAGACATTGCTGACTGTGCCAAACTAACAACTATCCATTGGAACTGAGCTGGGACAACCAGAGCAAGGATGCAGGACCCAGGGGCATATTCTGATCTCACTGCCTAAAATGCAAATCTGGATTCACTCCACTGAAATGAGTGGAGTCACTCTCGATTCACACTGGGATAACTGGTATCAGAATCTGGCCCTGGGTCTATGCAGGAGAAAGGCAGTGTGTGAGAGCTGCCCCAGCCCTGTGGCAGTGCAGGCATAAGAATGAATCACTGATGGTTCCTATCTTGTGTAATCCGTAGTGCCCGCCAGTCACAGATCTCCAGTCCCTTTCCAGATGTTAATTGCAGCTTCCTGTGCTGGGGGGTAGCAGTGTCCCCATTCTAGAGATGGGAAGTTGAGGCCCAGAAAGGTTTCAGTGATTTGCTGAAGGTCTCAGACACTAAATCAGCCACTGAACCCAGGAGTTCTGCTGCCCTGTTCGCTTCTCTAGCCACTGACCACAGTTCCTCCCCTGCAATGTAGTTAGGCTCACCGCTGAGGCCTGGCATTATATTAACCCACCAGCAGCTGCACTGGAGCCAATCCTGTGCTCTCAAGGCCTGGAGGCAGGGAAAGGAAGAGTTAAGCCATTCGCTGATAGCTGGTGAGCTCATCGGAGCTGGACTATGCTCCCTTGGTTATTAACCACTCAACACAGCCCTGTAGACAATGTCGGGGGTGGGGCACAGTTAGCTGGAGCTGGGAGATCATAACACCCACTTACTCCAAATTCCATCCAGGTGTGGGGCAGAGGAGCCAGTCCTGAGCTGCTAGCCATGTAAGTAGGAATCTTTTACCATTGGGATTTAGAAGCACCATGAATAAGAGGAGCTTGCGAGTCAGGATTGAGGGGCAGTGTGAATAAGAAGGGGTTATGGGTGGTGATTGAGGAGCACCATGAATAGGAAGGGGCTGCGGGTTGGGATTGCGGAGGTCTGTGGATGGGCGGGAGATGCATGTTGGAACTGAGGATCACTGAACCCCGGACTCGGGGGCTGGGGAGTTTCTTGTCTCTAGAGAGGAGGAACCTATATTTTGCAAAGTAAGCACCGAAAAGGGATATGCAAATAGTCCCAGATCTGATGCTTAATGGGCAGGCAGGTGACACTGGGTGAGTTGCTGGGACCCTCTAAACTGTCTCTGACTCTTGAGGATGCTAAAAACCTGCTATCACAGGATTCAGTCCACAGGGCCAGACCCAGCTATCAGTTACACCAGCAGAATAACTCTGCATGGATCTCAGCAGTGACTTGAATTTACATCAGTGTAATGGAGATCAGAATCTGGCCCCCCATCCATCACTGAACAACTCCTGGACAGCTTAAAACCCTTTGTACCATATATTTCCCCTATTTCTGCATCTGTAGCCAGAGTCTTGGAGTCTAAATAGCCTGTGTCTTCCCAAGCACACACCACACCAGAGACCTTGTCATACACGGGGAGTTGCAGAGGGGCAAGGTGGTTGGTTTAATGTGCTGAACTGCTTTTGAAGGGCTCCATCCTGCATGCCTTGTGCAGGCAAAGCGCCTTCTGAAGTCAGCAAGAGCTTTGCCTGGGGCCGGACTGCAGGATCCTGCTCTAAAAGGATCAACACAAAGTGATGCAAAGCTCAATAATCCTGGGGTGTTTCAACATCTGCTCCTGGGGGCACTGATGGGAGGGCTGACCGTTGGATTGCCCCCTGAGCGTAGAGGAGATAGTTAATGTAGCCGGTTCCCTTGTCTCTGAGAGTGTCGTGCCCACGTGCCGGGATCATCCATGGTGAGTTCACTTTTTAAAACCTTCATTCCTTCAATAATCAGATGCACTCTGTGGCCCTTCACCCAGATGCTTTATTCCTAGACAGTCTCAGCACCAGTGCAGGTCAGTGGCCGGTTGGCTTGCTCCTTTAAGTTCTGCTGCACTTGGAGGTAAAACAAACCTGTCGTTCCATGTGTGGTCATCTCACTGATGTACCTGCTCAGTGGGGTGGATGAAGGTGGGGCTCCCAGTACCTTGTCTGTATATTTCATTTTGCCCAGCTTGGGATCATGTCACCTCTGGCACAAAGAGAAGGGGAACAAGCCAGTTTCTGTGTCATTCACTAGTGCTTAGATTGTGTGGTGAAAGGACTATAGAAAACCCAAACATGGACAGAGTCACCGTGACAGGGGCTCTAAACTCCTAAAACCGGGGGCGGGGGGCGTTAATTATGGTAAATTCCTTGATGTCGCCAACAACCCAAAGAGAGTCAAAGATTCCAAGGCCAGCAGGGACCATTGTGATCATCTAGGCTGACCTCCTTTATAGCCCTGGGCAGAGAACTGCCCCCAAGAAATTCCTAGAGTTGAGCTTTTAGAAACACACCCAGTCCTGGTTTGAAAATTGTCAGTGATGGCTAGTCCACCATGACCCTTGGTAAATTGTTCCAATGGTTAATTACTCACTGTTAAAAATGTATGCCTTTATTCCAGTCTGAATTTGTCTAGCTTCAACTTCCAGCATTGGATCATGTTAGACCTTTCTCCACTAGACTGAAGAGCCCATTATTAAACATTTGCTCCCCATGCAGATACTTACAGACTGTGATCAAGTCACCCCTTAACCTTGTCTTTGTTAAGCCAAATAGATTGAGCTCCTTGAGTCCAGGCAGGTTTTTTAATCCTCTAATCATTCTCATGGCTATTCTCTGACCCCTCTCCAATTTATCAACATCCTTCTTGAATTGTGGGCACCAGAACCGGACACAGGATTCTAGCAGTGTTCACACCAGTGCCAAATATAGAGGTAAAATAACTGCTCTATTTCTTCCTGAGATTCTGCTGTTTATGCATCCCAGGATCGCATTTGCCCTTTTGGCCACAGTGTCACACTAAGAGCTCATGTTCAGATGATTATCCACCATAAACCCAAATCTTTTTCAGAGTCCCTGCTTCCCAGGATAGAGTCCCTCATTCTGTAAGTATGGCCTTTCTTCGTTCCTAGATGCATACTTTTACATGTAACTGTATTAAAGTGCATTCTGTCTGCTTGCACCCAGTTTACCAAGTGATCCAGGTCTCTCTGTATCAGTGACCTGCCCTCTTTATTATTTGCCACTCACCCAATTTTTGGGTCATCTGCAAACTTTATCGGTGATGATTTTATGTTTTCTTCCAGGTCACTGATAAAAATGTTAATGTAAATGTAGGGCCACAAAGTGATACTGGCTGGACCCGACTGGAAACACACCCACTAAGTGATGATTCCCCATTTACAGTTACATTTGGAGTTAGCCAGCTTTTAATCCATTTAATGTGTGCCATGTTAATTTTATATCGTTCTAGTTTTTTTATCAAGATGTCGTGCGGTACCAAGTCAAATACCTTACAGACATCGCAATCAATCATGTCAACGCTATTTCCTTATCAACAACCAGACTTGTACTTTCATCAAAAACAGAGAATTATAGAATATCAGGGCTGGAAGGGACCTCAGCAGGTCATCTAGTCCAACCCCCTGCTCAAAGCAGGACTGATCCCCAATTTTTACCCGAGATCCCTGAATGGCCCCCTCAAGGATTGAACTCACAACCCTGGGTTTAGCAGGCCAATGCTCAAACCAGATATTAAGTTAGTTTGACAGGATCTATTTTCCATAAACCCCCATTGATTTGCATTAATTAACTTCCCCTCCTTTAATTCTTTATTTCTCAGCTCCTGTCTCAGCAGCTTGTCAGCTTGCCTGGGATCGAGGTCAGGCTGAGAGGTCTAGAATTACTGGGGTCATCCCGTTTACTCTTTTTGAAAATTGGCACATTAGTTTTCTCCCAATCTTCTGCAGTTTCCTCAGGGCTCCAAGATCTATTGAAAACATGTTAAGGAACAATAGGAATCATTCCCAGGTGCAATGGCATTGTTTGTTAACTGCACCATAAAACTTCTACACGTATGAAAAGGGCAGAGAATCCAGGGGACACAGTGAGGGGTGTCTCCATAGGCTGGAGAGCTGCCATTCCAGAGCAGTTTGAGATCCACACACCTTCTCTTTATGATCCCATGCATGTCGCACTGTATCAGTTCCTCCTTTCCATCCACCACAAAGACACCTGTAAATCCAGATGGCGCATTGAGAGATTCCGAGATTCACAGATTCCAAGGCCAGAAAGGACCATTAGAGCACCTAATGTGACCTCCTGCATAACCCAGATCAGAGAATTTCATCCTGTTGCTCCTGTGTTGAGCGTAATAACTTGGGATCCAGTAGCCTTGAAATGAAGTCTGGAGCAAAATACATATTGTTGAAAAGGATTTCCCACTTTTACCAGCTCTCCATTTGTTGACTGACTTAGTCAATTTTGTTCTTTTTGTTACTGAGAATCTCTAGATTTCCTAGCAGTTGGAAGTCAAATCTGATTTCCGTTTCTTAGCAATCAGTGGAGGGGACAAAAAAATACCCAAAAACATGTCTCAGGAAACTTAGACAAACCAGGAGATGCTGAGAATTTCCTGCACAAAATAATTGACCTTCCCAGAGTCCCACGCAGCACAGCAGCGAGAGGAGAATGATGCCTTGGGTATTTCTTGACAACCTGCTAAGGGCTCTTGCCAGTAGCCAGGCACCTTGCTGGGATGTTGGAGTTGGGGATGTGGCATTTGTGACTCCTGGTTCCCCCCTTTGGCTGGAAAGAAGTGTTAGGCGGGGAAGACTGGGAAGAGGCCCTATCTCTAGGGACAGGCAGAGTGGGCAATGGTGGGAACAACGCTGCTCCCGCTGCGGACTTGCTGGTCTTTTCCAGCCTTGGGCATTGGTCTTTCTAAGGGCAGCGGGGGCATGCAACTGCCCCTGTGTCAGCAGCAGTGGGGATTGTACCTGAGTCCTCTAGATTGCAATACACAAGCCTCTGCTACCTGAGCTAAAAGTCCTGGCTCTATTAGCCAGGCTGTAGCAGGCTCATCACCTGTGCGTGGCGACCAGGCCCAGGAGTCACGCTGTGGCACCAGGGACTCATTTGCAGAGCACTCGGGGCAGGGCAGGGGTTGGCTGGAAAGGGGGAAAGCTGATCTCTCTGCACAGCATGAGGCACTGGCATCAGCCATCCTGTCAGGGCATTGGGCCCGCAGCGCTGAGATGGCAGCACCGCTCAGGGCTGTGAGCCAGGCACCCCAGCTGTGAGGGCCTGTGCCGTGCTCAGCACAGCCAAGTGCCAGGGAACTTCCCGCTTCACCCAACCCCCAAGCAGCTTCCCCTAGGGCTCTCCACAGCTCTGGCTCTCCTGACCAACTCTGGCCCATTCTGGGTGGCTGTGGCACTGCCCGAGGCCCTAGCCAGCTTGGTCTCGGACGCACAATGCTGCCTTCCACCCGCTGTGCACTCAGCAAAGTAGTTCTGGGCCTGGGGATCCATTCCCAGCTCCAACACTGGCTCCCAGTGCAGGCGGGGCAAGTCGCTCCCCCTCGGCCGGGGGATGGTTATGTCCAGGGGAATGGGCCCCCTGAAGCCAGCCAGCCACCCACCCACCTCAGCCCTCTTGAGGGGTCATTATTTGGAAGGGACACAGCCCCAGCAGCCCTGACTGACTGCTACGGGGAGTCTGCCGAGGAGAAGAGAGGGGCTGGATTTACAGCTGGGACACATTTTTTATTTGCCAAAAATACCGTTTCGTCGCCCCGGCTCTATTCACAAATATGACATGAATCTGCCAAATAGTTTCTGCAAAAACAATCGTTCAGGATTTCCAACACCCTGAGGGGGCCCACTTGCCTCCACCCACCCTAGCCCCATCGCTAGGGCCCATAACTGGGGTCTGGGAGACGCCAGTGCATTCCCTTCTTTGTCTGGAGTACAAAGGGAGCTGGACTGGGGTGGCCCCTGGTATAAGCACATGCCCTCGCCACGGTGCTCTAGAATCAGCATCTGCTTTGCCTGCCCCAGTGACTATTCAAATATTACAGACACAGTGGAGCAGCTTCACCAGCAGAGAGACTCTTCCCAGACCATCCCATAGGCCAGTGACTGGGGCACCTCTTGTAACGCAGAAGGCCCGAGTTCAGATTCCTCTTCCATGGCAGGCAGTGGAGGGACTGAACCCACTGCAGGGCAGCAACCTAATTACTGGGCTGGCAGTTATACGGGTCAGAGATCCCAGGGCCAGAAGGGACCATTGGGGTCAGCTAGTCTGACAGGCCAGAAGCCTGCCCCACAATCATTCCCAGAGCAGAGCTTTAAGGAAAACACCCAGTCTTGATTTAAAAATTGCCAGTGATGGAGAATCTACCACAATCCTAGGTAAATTGTTCCAGCGATTAATTCCTCTCCCTGTTCAAAATGTAGGTCTTATTTCCAGTCTGAATTTGTCTGTTTTCAACCTCCAGCCGTTGAATCATGTCATGACTTTCTCTGCTAGACTGAGAGCCCACTATCAAATATTTGTTCCCCAGGCAGGTGCTTACAGACGGCGATCAAGTCACCCCTTAACCTTCTTTTTGTTAAACTAAACAGATTGAGTTCCCTGAGTCCATCACTATAAGATGTTTTCTAATCCTGTAATCATCACCAACTCCTCCTCCGCCTCCATTCTGTGAATCTAGCCCTTTATTTCCTTTGCGTTTACGTGAAAAAAGTGCCCAGAAACTTAAACAAAGCTAAATTCTTGTTGATTCTAGATTCACTAAAATGTTTTGGAATGTTTTATTTCCCTTTGGGTCGAACCAAGTTTTGTTTTTGAACTGCCAGGGACTGGTTAGTCACCCAGCTCTAGTGGGGATGAAGTACTGAGGGTGGGGGCTTATGAGAATCCAGGACAGTCACTTATTTGCATCAGATCTGGGAGCCTCTCTCAGACTCCCAGACAGAGATGTGATCCATTTTGTGATTCTGCTTTTTTCTCACAGTGTTTCCTCATCCTTTCCCCACCCTCTGGATCTATTTTGTCCACCTGTTACATCCTGTCTGGCATGTAGATGGGGAGCTTTCGGGGCAGGGACTGTCTTTTTCGTTCTTTGTCTGTACAGCCCTAGCACAGTGGGGCCCTGACCCTTGACTGGGGATCCTAGCTATTGTTCCCAGCATTATTCCTCCACCTTTCCAAAGGGGTGCACTAGAAGGAAAGTGACCATGGCCAGAACAGGGAGGACACTGTTCACAATAAACTGAACACATGGGCAGGGGGCAAATCTTAGGAGCTACTGGCATCGGGCACTGGCTGCTCCATTTGGACCATTACACCAGAATACGGACAGGTTTTCTTAGCAGCTGTGCCAGCTTGGTAACCTCTCTAACTGCACTCCATTTACACAGCATCAGCTCCCTCATTGATTCCTTGCAATGGGAAATTTTCTGAGGTCTCAGCCCACTTCTGATCTGACAGCTGGCTGGAAGGACTTTCCAGGGCTCACAGTCCAGCCCTGGGCACTTACGAGGCAGTTTTCCATGTCTCCTAACCCCAGCCAAATGCAGGAGATGCAATTTTATGCAGCCCCAAAGATGAACAAAGAATGCAGATGAAGCTAATCACCCTGCATATGTCAAATGAGGACTGAAGAGTTTTCAAAAGCTTACTGCTCCGGATCACAAATCCTGCCCAGAGCAAACGACTGTGGGCTGTACTAAAAAACATGGGCCTGCACCTGCAAAGCCTTATGACAGTGCTCCACTTCACAGGACAGGCCCATTGAAAACACTGGAGTAACTGACGTGCCTAAAGCTAGCCATGGGCCTGAGTCTTTAGATTCGGGCCCAAAGCAGTTAAATGTCATTTCTTCCTTTGCATGCCTGCTGAGTCCTGAGTGCAAGGTTCTGGGTTTGCCCCTTAAATAGATACCTACAGGAGACCCCTAAAGCAGAGCATTTCCCTGCACACATTATGCACTCTGTCTTCCCTCTGTTCTTGCAGGAGAATTACAAAGCCCTGAACCTTAGATGGATAGGGGGCTGGCCACAGTTACAAAGCTGGCATCGCTCTCTGTGTCACCCAGCCATTCCTGGGTCATCCAGCCCCCGGTGTGATGGCTGAGAGGCCTGCGCTCCAGGTGAAATAAGCCAAACTACACCTGCAGCTGGGCTGGAATTATTCCACAGACACTGATGAACGAAATAGCTAGACTGGCATCCATGATCTGCCGCTCTCTGGGCTGTAGGCCACGGCGGGTGGATCTGGCATTTTCTGCTGCATACCAGCTGAAGTTTCCAAAGGGCAGACAGCAAGCATTGAGGGGTTAATCTGCCTGCTTTCTGTGTTTCAGCAACAGCCAGCAACCAATCAGAGCCCAGTAGAAATAGCAGTTTATAGAAACCCCACCACTTTCCCTCTTATCCTAATGGCTTCTCTGCATTACACTGCTGGCTTCCGAGAAAATGGATTTCCTTCTTGATTTGGTGAGAAAGTAACTGCAACCCTGGGGCCCATGAGGAGGCAGCATCACTGACCCCAGCAATGCCAGTGAGAGCAATTTGCTGTGTGGATTACTTAGAATCGGAGCCTTTCCACATACATGAGCAGATCCTGCAGCTAACAGCACCACGGGGAGCGCAAACCACTCACCAGCCCAGAAATGTGTCTCACTTTCCTCCTGGCAAATCAAAGGCTGCGTATTAACACCTAGCCCTGATCTAGCACTTTTCTTCTAGTGAGCTCAAAGCCCATTGCAAAGGTGGCCAGTATTATTAGCCCCATTGTACAGATGGGGAAACTGAGGCACAGATAGGGGAAGCAACATGCCCAAGGTCACCCAGCAAGCCCCAGGCAGAGCCAGAAATATAACCTAGCCAGGTGTCCTCAGTTCCAGCCTACCATACTAGCTGCTGGGCCACACACTGCCTCCCTAAACTAAAATTACATGTGGCCTTGACAAGTCCCACGTTCTGGGACTGACTGTGGCCAGCTGCTGCCCAGATGCACAAGCAGGGAGAAAGCACAAAGGCAAAGTTAGACCCAGTCCTACCAACTGCTCTGTTTGGTCTCTCATCTCTCTCTCCCCCCCAGGTGGCCTTGTCTAGCCTAGAGTGTTTAGCCCAAGGAAGGCACTACTGTTGGGAGATTTGAACAGGGTGGGTCCCAGCAAGAAACCAGGCTGGATTGGGGGTGCTGGCTGGGGAAAGCTTGTCACTAGGCCCCCCCAGTGCATTCTGGGTTAGAAAGCCTGTGGGGGCAAGCATGTCTGTGGAAGCCATGGCAGTTAGGACCACCTACCTATGCCAGGCTTGTGAGAAGGCAGCGTGGCCCACTGGGTAGGGCACTGGACGGGGCAGCTTGGCATGTGCACCACATTCCCAACTTGCTCTCCAAGTTGCCGGGTGAGCTGGGCAAGCCATCACCCCACTCTGTGCCTTAGTTTCCCCATTAGTTAAATGGGGACAATGACACGTTCCCTGGTGAAGCATTTTGGGGTCCTTGTATCTCATGGGCGGGGTCTTCTCTCACTCTGGTGTAAGCAGAGGGGGATTCAGGTGGAAATGCAGGGCATGAGAAAGGAGACACAGGCCACCGGGCCTTCCAGAGCTCTGCTCCTCCCATCCCTTTGATGCCTGCTCTGAGAATGTGGCACACACTGACCGCAGTACCTGGTCAGCTCTGCTGACTGCTCTAAGGCAGGGCAGGGGCTGCTGGCTAGTGCTGTTAGCCTTGCCCTAGGGGTGGTCCCAAAAGGGCCAGATTTTCCAAAGTGCTCAGCGCCCAGCAGCTCCCACCAAGAGCATTGGGAGGTGCTGGGTGTAGACCACCCTTGGAAAACTGGCCATTTCACCGAAGTGCCCCAATGGGAGCTGGGTTCTTGTGATCCATGGAGCAAAAACTGCGCCGGACCCATGCACGGGGGCACAGTGTGGGGAGTTCCTATGGGCCTGCTCAATGCCCGGGCACAACTGGGCCCAGCTGGGGTATTTTTAAGCTGCGGTGTTCCCACAGGAGCAATACAGTCCTCTCTCAGCTGCAACCCCGTGAGCCTTTCTGTGCTCTGGCTCTGGGGTGGCCTTTGGCCCCACCTAATCAGTGACCCCTCCAAACAGCATGACCCTGTGAATGAATGTCAGTCCCCGCAGTGCTAATCCCCTCTGTTTTCCTCTTCTGTTCCTCTCAGGCATTAACCCCCAAACCCGCAATGCCCAGCACCATGGAAACCCACCCCAAGAACCTGGATGGGAGTGAAAAGTCCCCTGAATCCAAGGATTTGATCACTAGCAACACAGCCAGCACGCTGTGCATCAGCTCCAGGAGTGAGTCCGTCTGGGCCAATGCACCCAGGAACAAGTGGGAGATCTACCACAAGCCCATCGTGGTGGTTTCTGTTGGAGGCGCCATCTTCCTCTTTGGGGTGGTGGTCACCAGCCTGTCCTGCTTCATAACGATCAATAAGAATGTTTACAAAATGTGTGGCCCGGCATTCCTGTCCCTGGGGCTGATGCTCCTGGTTTGCGGCTTCGTCTGGATCCCCGTCATCCGGAAGAAGCAGCGGCAGAGACAGAAATCACGCTTTTTTCAGAACATCAAGTCGTTCTTCTTTAACCGCTGAGGGCTGCTCAGGCTCAGCACTCGCGGGTGGCAAGCAATGCCTCTTTCAGCCTGGCTGGATTTGCCATGAGATTATTAGGGCCTGATCCTGCTCTTAGACATGCCTAGTGGATCCCCAACTTTGACCTTCTCCTCTCCCCATAGGTGACATTCATCCCCATGCAGGTCCTCTGTGGGCAAGTAAATTTCACACTGTGTGCTAGGAGAGCAGAATACTGGTGTGGAGACAAGCAGGTTGGGCCCAAGCCCTAGATTTTGCTCTTGACTGTACATTGAGCAAACCTGCAAACATTGACCATGTCCTATAGAGGACAAAGCTTTGAACTGTATTCATCAACACCCAGCACCTGTACTGCTGAACACCTGTCTGGGATGGTCTCAGGGGCTGGACTTGATGACCTCTCAAGATCCCTTCCAGCTCTACATTTCGATGATTCTATGAATGGGATTTCACTAGAAAATGTAACCCTTTACTCAGGTGACTGACTCTTACTGACACAAGTAGTGGCATTCAAATCCATGGGACTGCTCTCGTGAGTAAGAGTCACAGGACAGGTCTGACAGGGTATTGCCGGAAAGGATTTCAGCTGTTCAGGACGTGCTGTGTTAATAGGGGAAACAGGGCTACGCTAGGAAGGGATTGGATTGTTCTCCATCAGCCATATGGCTACAACCCCTCTCTGGCTAAGATGACCAAGTACAACACTTCAAATATAGACGATCCATAGTGCCAGGATATGTCAATGGGATCTGGAGGAGACCGTGCATTCAGAATGCTCTGCAAGGGCAAACAGAATAATTTCTTTCTAGCCAACCCTGCATTGGACCTCAGAGGATATATCCAGAATGATAAACATGCATGATCCACAGCTGAGAATGAAAGGACTTAGATGGGGATGTGTATGAAGTTCATCTCGTAATTGTCACTATGAAACGAGCATCTGTGTGCGATGCTACTCCAAAGGGCATTCCAATATGTTGCTTACTCAAGACTTTCTGATGAAGTGTGGGGTGATATTTATTTCTACCTAAACAGCCAAGCTGAAGAGCAACTGAGCACAGACGTAACATTTCTCTGTTCAATTTTACAGACTGTCTAAGAAATTCCGTTCCTCAAGGTCTCTGGCTGCAAGGCTATACTGCACCAATTACATATTTATCTCGGTTTGGAGTGATTGTCTCTGTCGTGATGGATTCCAGCACAGCACAAACCTCAAACATTCCACCTGGGCGGAACAAGAGCAAATGTAAAGGAGATGCCTTGTTTAACTCAAGGCCATTGAACTCCTCTTGTTAAGAATTATGTACCCTGTGAAATTTACCTACAAAAGCGGGAATCATTACCAAATATTTTTGGTTAATATTGTAGTTGCCTTTTTCCAGTGGGGCCCAGTTAGTTTTAAAAAACTTGTAAATACAACATTCCAACTGCAAATCCAACTGTGCAACTGGTCTTTGGCTTGGATACTAGGGACAAGATTTTTACAAATAGTCGCCTAGTTCGTAGTTAGGCGCCTACATAAATCGCCTGATTTTCAAAGCAGCTGAGCTGTTGTTGACTCCACTGAAGTCAATGGGAGCTGAGAAGACTCAGCGACCACAATTGGACTGTGTCTCTGGTTAGCCCCATAAGCATAGCACTGAGTAAACCAATACCTGCATGCAGACCACTCTTTTTCCCGTGTCAGGACACGGCCACGCACCGACGCGTCTAGCTTTGGTGAGGTGGTATTGTAACGGCCCCAGATGGTTTCTGATGTAGAACAACACTCATCTGAGACCAAATGGCTGCAACTCATGGAAAAGGCACAGTCTGGCTCTTCTTTGCAACCAGAATCCTCCTCTGAGCCAAATGCAGCCATTCAGCCTGGATAGCAAGTTGAATTCCTTAGGAGAAAGAGGAATGAAAGTCTGCGTGGCGCTGGCTGTGTTTTGCAGAACCTCTCTAGTCTTCACAAAGCTTAACGATTTTGTTTCAAACGTCAGAGGTGATCAGACTGCCACCGCTTCTGGTGATCTGAACAATCCTTTTGGACCTTAAAATCTGTGGGGAAGACCCTTAGCTGCTGCATGTTGTCATAATGCCACTGAGGGTCCAGTGACTAGGGCGCTAGCCTAGGGCTTTGCAGACTGAGATCCAATTCTCTTCTCTGCTACAAACTTCCTTGTGCAATCTTGGGCAAGACTCTCAGTGCCTCAGTTCCCCTCCTGCCCTACCTCACAAGGGGGTTGGGAAGATAAATACACGGAAGATTGTGACATGCTTTTGAGATCTTCTGGTGAAAAGTGCCATATAAGAGCCAGGTACCATTACAAGGCAATGGAGCAATGAGAACTGACACCAGTCCCTGGGGACAGCCTGCGTTTCCCTTGCCCAGCCACAGAGCAGGACTGCTGCTTGAGAAGCTGAGACGCTTGTTCCCTGCTGATGAAATGAAGGGATCTTAAGCTGGAGAAGAAACTGGAGCATCTATTAGAAGATCACATTGGGTTCAGTGCAGCCCTGTCACAATGCATGGCATTCTGCACTCACAGCGGCAGCTTCCCATTGAGTCTGGGGCAGGGTGCTGAGATCAGACCATGCTGAGTGTTTCTTGCACTAACCACATTTGTATCTCTATTTTCTTTCCTCGGAATGACAGTTTTCTAACATGTCCATCGGGCTTGTTATTAAACTGAGCTAAGAGGAAAGTCTCTTTCAGAGCCCTCTACCTACCACAATGCTGATAGAGCTAAGCCAACCAGGCCTGCTTCCAAAGCAATTCAACCAAAAAATAAATCCAGCTGCCACAACACAAAAGTTCCTTCCATGGACACCAGCACCCGGTGCGTGGGTCTAGCCCTTAGCTGCAAAGGGAAGGATCCAGCTGCATTAATGTTAATGCACTGAAATTCACCCTCTTGCAGCAAGTGCAGTGCTGGGCCTGGGCAGGGGCTCTGGGGCCTTAGGGTTAATAGATCCTGGAGAATGCTGCTCTGGTTTGAGCCCTGGGGTTTCATATTAATAGCAAATGTGGGTGGCAGGTGGGGACAGGGAGCCCAAGATTCAAGATAAGAAAGTATACAGGCCTGGCTCTGGGGGGCGGCCCTGGTGAATTTGTTCAGTATTCCATGAGCAGATCCCGAAGGAATCCGAGCCATTTCTTGGCTGGCATGGAAATGATTAACTCCCACCCAAATGCCCTGCCCCTCCCCCCTTAAATTTCAGCTCTACTCCAAAGGAGAGCCTCTGGCGGGTTAACATCCCTTGTACTCCAAGGTGTCTGGGACTCTCCAGATTCTCAGATCCACTGACGTTCATAGGTGCAGCTCCACTGACTCTGGCTCTGTGAGGGAGTCTCCTTGTCTGAGACTCCTCCTGGGAGTCCCCTCAGTTTTGCCTGAAACAAATGCAGCTCAGCCAGCCGTCTCTTGAAGGTTCAGATGAGGTGAGGTACCCAAGAGGGTTGAGATGCTCCCCGGGCTCGGAGCACTATCTGCTAAAGGACGGTAGTGCCGTGCGCACAAGACACCAAACCCCAACCTTGCCGTGGGCAGAGCACTCGGCCAGAAGCTGATTTACTGGTATCTGACTGTATTCTGAAGTGGTTGGATTGTCCATAGGGGAGTCCCCATCTGGGATGTGACAAGCTGAGGGTGGCTTCCTCTTAAATCTCTCCCATGCCCTGATTTTACTCCTGTGCCTGCTAATGCTTTGTTGGGGGGGTGGATGTCGCTCTGGCCGGATGGTGCCTGATTTCCGAATGCAATGAATAAAGTACTGGACCAAACTCCCCTCGCTGTTTGCGTGTAACTGTGGTGATGGAAAGACCCCCAGGGGTCACCGCTCCCAGCCCAGTCTGAGGAGAGGGCGTTCGAGTCTGTGCTGCTGCTGGGGTCACAAGCTGTCCTGCCTTCAAAAATCGAAGACGGCCTGCCCACATGAGCAAGGGCTACTCATGTGAGTAAGAACTGCTCCCGGGGCCCCTCAGGGCTGCTGTGAAACTTGAGCAATGCCTGGGTCCTGTGCTGACCCCTCTACTCAGGTGAATTTTCCAGGTGCACCATTGCTTTGTGTAAAGGCTTTATCATATGCTCTGTATTATTCCCCTCCCATTGCCTGTGCATCCCAACAGTGTTTGCTTTTCTTGGCTGCAGCTTCCCACTGAACAGGTGTCTTTATTGATTGATCTACAAAGGGCCCACACAGTTCAATTAACAGTGTCTGCTCAGTGTGCAGCTATGGTCAAAGGAGATGTCAGGATGCATAGAGAACAGGATGGAGAATACTCTGTGTGTATATAAAGTCTGCTGCAGTTTCCACGGTATACATCTGATGAAGTGAGCTGTAGCTCACGAAAGCTCATGCTCAAATAAATTGGTTAGTCTCTAAGGTGCCACAAGTACTCCTTTTCTTTTTGCGAATACAGACTAACGCGGCTGTTCCTCTGAAACCTGTCAGAATGGAGAATAACACAGAGAGCAGAGTAATGCCTCTATATAATCAATGGTGCCCCCTTATCGGCGTACTGTGTGCAGTACTGGACACCCCATCTCAAAAAGGACATTGCGGAACTGGAAGGGGATCAGAGAAGGGTGTTGAGAATGACCGAGAGCCTAGATAACTCTCCTATGAAGAGATTGAAAAGACTGGGATTGTTACCTAAAGAGGAGACAGATAAGAGGGGATGTGATAGAACTACGTAAAATAATTAGTGGTCTAGAGAAAGTAGCTCAGGAACGTCTCTTCTCCCTGTCGTCACACAAGAACAAGGGGAGCGTCACTTCAATTAAAAGGTGCCAAACCTGAAAGCGAGAAAAGGAAATGTGCAACTAGACTGTGGAAGTCACAGTCACGGAAAGTTGTAGCGGTGAAGGATTTAGCAAGACTGAAAAAAGAGCTCATCAGACTCTAGAATAAAGGTACGTGAGTCCTTTCCAGAATAGTCTGGATGGGGCAGAAGAGCTGTTTTAAGAAGGTATCAGGTGACACGCCCAATCTGATTATCTCCAACTCTTGCTAAAACAAGGTTAGATGCTACTTGCCTCCTCCCCTTGTTCTATAAAACAAGAAGGAAATTCATTACAAAACTCAATAGTGCTGGGCATCAGCAGTTCAAATGTGCACGTGAAAGGTCGTGACCCAGCCAAACCTGTTGACCGCAACTCGTCCCCGGTTTAAACCTTAGGCTGTCGGTTATTGCAGATCTTCTGGGAAAGGCTCAAGTTCTCTTTTTTAGCACAAATAGAAAAGTCAGGGCGCGGTCAGGCAGCCTTTATGCACGTGGGTTATGGCCGCAGGGTTGAGCCCATTGTCATCCAGCATTTGCAGAGACAAGCCCAAAAGCAGGTGTTATGTCTGGCTGTGTTTGTGTCTCCTCTTACTATGAATTGGGTTTCATTTCACCACAGAGGGGCCAAAGTCATCCCTAGTGTAACTTTACTGAATTTGACACCCTTGCTGTCCACTTCTACAGGGATCCATGTTATTGTATACTGACCATGTCCCCGGGGGATGCTGGAGCACGCAAACACAACAATTGTGCAGCAGACAAAGGGGGAAGAGAGGAAGAAACAAGCGTGGGCACCATGCCTGAGATGCCCCTATCATCACAGGGAATTCATCAGTGCCACATACCCATCTCAGTCTAACAGGCAATCCCGGCTTAGGGGCCCACAGAAGGAGGAAGCAGCCCTAGAGTGCCAGTCATGGAGGGATGTTCCTTTCCAGGCCTGGATCCAAAGATCAGTGTCACCCGTGTGTGAAAGAGCTGGAATCACTAATCCAGTGTCTAATTCCATGTTTACACCAAGGTGCTGCTGGAATGCAAGTATCTTCCATGTATTTAACCTATGTCCCAGCAGCATTCAGGGCTTGTCTAGACTTAAAATGCTGCAGCAGCATACCTCTAGCACTTCAGTGAAGATGTTACCTACGTCAATGGGAGGGCTTCTCCAGCTGGCATAGCTAATCCAGCTCCCAGAGAGGACGTAGATAAGTCGATGGGAAAATTCTCCTGATGACATCATGCTGTCTACACAAGGGGTTAGGTCGCTTTAAGCGCATTGCTCAGGGGTGTGGGTTTTTCACACTCCAGAACGGTGATACCGACCCACTTTCCTATGCAACCCAGACCTCAGGTATTTACCTGTCTCTGTTTACTGCAGAGTCAATGTAACCTCCTCTGGAAAAGCTAGTTCCTCATGTTTTCATGCTAGATTCAATGTCCCTTCCAAAATGTGTACTGTCAGTAATCACAATAACTAGGGATATGCTGGATATCCATATGAAATATCAGGTTTCAGAGTAACAGCCGTGTTAGTCTGTATTCGCAAAAAGAAAAGGAGTACTTGTGGCACCTTAGAGACTAACCAATTTATTTGAGCATGAGCTTTCGTGAGCTACAGCTCACTTCTGTAGCTCACGAAAGCTCATGCTCAAATAAATTGGTTAGTCTCTAAGGTGCCACAAGTACTCCTTTTCATATCAAATATCCAATCTCTATTTCAATCCTAGGCTATGCTTACGTTAGACTTCTGCTAGTGTGTCGGGCAGGGATAGAAAAAAGTGTGATCCCTGACTAGCACCTAGTGTAGATGCAGCCCTACCTGCAAGGCTGCACTTTTACTGGTATAGCTTGTTTCACTCGTGGGGGGCAGGTTCAATACAATGGTAAATGCTCAGCTTTTCTGGTACAGCTGCAGCCACACTAGAAGCACTTTGCTAGTGTAGTGCCCTAGTAGTCCTATGCCAGTAAAGCCTTTCTAGTGTAGACATGGCCCCAACATTAATAGCAACAGACTCTGCAGCCCAAGTACCCACAGAGCACAAAATCACACCACTGTGAGAGCTGCAACAAGAGGACGTGAGATCCCAGTGGCCCTACAGCAGTCATTGTGATGTTGGGTGCTATCTCTTAAGAGTGGTGGGCCTGCAGGCTCAGGGAAATTCCCTCATCAGAAGCCAGGTGTTGCAGCAATGCAGGTAGTCTTGATTTTCCTGATGGATCTCACCGACTCCTTGGGCATATCATGTTTCAGCAGAAGCCAGCACAGAAGGGGGAATTGTTTACTTAAAAATGCCCTGACTGAGGACATTTAAAGCACTTCTATGGTTATGATCTTCTGTAAGCCATATGCAGCAGAAGAATTATCTAGGATGGGAGCAGTCTTGTATGCTGGGTGAACTTGGCATGTGGGGGGAACTACGAAAGGGTCAGAGGTTCAGCATGCCTAAAAAGCTAAAAGTCCAGATGCTTCTCAGATGCTTATCTGTTTTCCAACCTCTTTTGTCTGGAGGCTGGGCAGGTAATGTCACAGGAACAGGCTTTCTCCAGAGATTTCCAGCGTAGCCTGGTTTTTGTCCGGTCTAAAATACCAGCCCTTTGTATCCTGAATGAAACTTGGAATTGCACAGTAAAAATCCCTGCCCTTCTCAGCATGTAAATAGGCAAGCTGTGTCTTTCAAGGGGCACTCTCTAGTCAGTTTCCAAATGTGAAACTGAAATAGTTCCACTTGTTGGCTCTGCCCCTGGGCCCCCTGCCACTGGCTGTCATTTCTACAGTCACATTTTTCGTACTTAAAAAGAAAATGTCCTATGCCCCATTACTGAGTGAAAGACTCACACAAAGAGGGGAAACCAAGGCAGGGGCCATCCCTTTGTTCGGTTTGTCCAGCACAATGGAAGCCTGGGTTGTGATTAAGACTCCTCAGTATTCTGCAATACAAATAAATCAATGAGGCTCAGATCTTGCCAATGCTTACACACCAGTGACTTTACTCACATTGGCTCCAGTGAGCTCAGCTGATTACTCAGGAGAAAGAGTGGAACAGACCAGACACAAAGCGCCAGCAAATTCACAGTGTAAACACCTTGAAAACCAGAGACAAATGCTTTTTTCTCTCTAATGTCTCAGTTCTAGTGATTGGTTTCTTTTCACAGGTTAAATATTTTCAGAGTGATTTGCAAATGGATGGTGTCTGTCCCTTTAAGTTTGAAGAGACAAGGTGGGTGAGGGAACGTCTTTTATTGGACCAGCTTCTGTTGGGGAGAGAGACAAGAAACTGATCCAATAAAAGAGATTCCCTCCCTCACCTTGTCTCTCTAATACGCTGGGACCAACATGGCTACAATAATGCGGCAAACAACTGTTAAATTTAACACTTTTGGGAGTTCCTTCTCTATACCCTTTAGACAGCTGGGAGATTAGCCTTTTTTTTTTTTTTTTGAAGCAGTGAGCACCCACAAATCCCAGAGAAGTCAAAGGGAGCAGTGGGTTCTCAGACCACCTTTGGAAAGGGAAAATTAAGCCATGCCATTGACTTCAGTGGGGATTGGATCAAGGCTTAGCCCTGGTGAGAGATAACATCACTGGATAAGATTTGCAATTGGAATCTATGACAGTGTAACTAATTAGTGATAACAGAGCAATTAGCAATTGCCCCTGGGGTTACATACAATGTGAGACTGAGGCACCAAGTAAGTGTTTCTCTTCAGAGCCTACAGTAAACCAGAATGCTCTGTCCTGGAAAACCCATGAGCAAGTGTTCTGTGTTTGCTTGGATTATATCTTGCCTGCTACCTTGGAGATTTACTGGTTAGACATAGCAGGAACCAGTAAAGCAATATGGCCTTGATTTTTTTTTTTTTTTTAAAAGACAGTTTGTGGATTTGTCAGCTTTATAAATAAGTGCTGGAGTATTCTGCAGTAATGCCTCAGAATAGGACAGTTTACAATGGTGCAGTGTTGGGAGCTCTTACTAGGAAATATTGCAGTGTTTTATATAAAATGTGTTCAAATTGAGCTGAACACTCCCCAAATCACTGGGTTTATCTGTATCATTTTCACCAATTAGTGGTTGACCCGCTCTGTTACAAGCGCCTTTAGGCAACAAAAAGGTTGTTCCCTCAGACTGAATATGCTGTGAGTTACTGTCTGTATATGACAGGTTTCAGAGGAACAGCTGATGAAGTGAGCTGTAGCTCACGAAAGCTCATGCTCAAATAAATTGGTTAGTCTCTAAGGTGCCACAAGTACTCCTTTTCTTTTTGTCTGTATATGGCATCAAATTAATCTGAACAAACCCATGAGCCTCACCCCAAATCTCAGGGCCTACATACAGTAATAGCTCTCATGGTCTCCTGCATATTCCCTCCCCCCACACACCATTTCTGGCAGGCTAGAAAGCTGTGGCCTTGTCTACAATCTGTACTTTCACCACCATAGCACCATGATGCAAACCCCTAGGGTAGATCCCCCACCTAAAAACTGACTTGCATTGATACACCCCATCCTGGTTTGACAATCTAAGGGTTTGTCTATGCATGAAGTTAACTATGGGTCAAGCTAAACAGGAACAAGGTGCTCCTATTCCAGAATAATAGTATCACACATGGAGCTATTCAGGAATAGCTGTTCCTGAATAACTCCATGAGTAGAAAGAAAAGGAGTACTTGTGGCACCTTAGAGACTAACCAATTTATTTGAGCATGAGCTTTCGTGAGCTACAGCTCACTTCATGTGAGCTGTAGCTCATGAAAGCTCATGCTCAAATAAATTGGTTAGTCTCTAAGGTGCCACAAGTACTCCTTTTCTTTTTGCAAATACAGACTAACATGGCTGTTACTCTGATCCATGAGTAGAGAAACCCAAGAAGAGTCTAAATTCTGCTGAGAGATTACATTGGGTTTGAGCAGGTAAGGATTGCAGATTATAGTACTAAAACATACAATTTGGCATCACCACTCTGGAGTGACACATTCAAACAGATTATGGCCCTTGAAATTACATTACTTTCTGCAAGTTTTGCAGTGCTGCTGCTATACCGCTGTAGTCTAGACACTCGGTAGTCAGGGAAGGAGGTTTTCCATCACTGTAGTAAATCCACACCCTTGAGAGGTAGTAGCCAGGTGGAGAAAAGAATTCTTCCATTGATTTAGCAGTGTCTGTACCGAGGCTCAAGTCTGCTTAATTACATCTTTCAGGTGCATGGATTTTCTTCCAGTTTTCAAGCTCTGTACAAAGGCATAGGCTTATGATCCTCATTTTACTGAAGGGGAAACTGAGGCACAGCACAGCTTAGCATTGTGCAGTGTAGCAGCAGTGTTAAGGTTCCTCATAGGACCAACACAAAGGGTGATAAATCCCCTCTACACACCACTGAGTCTCCTGTTCAAACACCAGCTATAGCTGCTACCAGTTCTACCCATTCTCACTCCTAACCTTCCCTACCACCTAGCTGCGTAAAGCCAGGGGCGCTGCAGCTCAGGGCTGAACTGCACGGTCCTTAAAGCGGAATTGGAGCCCCCATCTGCACTCCAACCCCTTAACTATTAAGTCGGAGGAAAGGTGTCCCAGCCCTGAACGTTGGCTCATGTATCTAGAGCCCATCCCTTTCTATGGAGGTATAGGCGTGGTCTAGGCTTTATATAGACCAGGTGGGCGGGAAACGGCTACAGAGTGGGCGTGGTTTGTGCTATATGTAGAGGGGGCGGGGCTAGCAGCTGCTCTACTCAGGTGCGCGGCGCTGTAGGCACCGCCGCTATGGCGTACAGCTGCGGGCGCTGCGCACTTTTCCTGCTTGGGGCTCTGGCTCTGGACGCGGCCGGGCTAGTGTTGGTGCTGGTGGGGTCGGTGGTGCAGCCGACCCGGGCTGGGCGGCCGTATGGGGACTGCCTGGTGCTGTCCGGGGCGCTGCTGCTCTTCCTCTCGCTGCTCTGCTGGCTGCTGTGGTACGCGGGGAACCTGCGCGGGGTGCCGGCCTCTGAGCTGCCTCCAGGGGCCCGCAGCCCCGGGCAGCTGCCACGCTCTAGCCTGCTCCGCCTGGCTAGCAAGCTGTCGGAGCGCCTGTCCCAGCGCCGCCCGCCGCTGCCCGGCCCTTCCCCGCCGGCCCCCGGGTCGCTGGAGCTCCAGCCGCCTGTGCGCCATGGAGAGCCCGGGGACGCCCGGGGACCGGCTGGTGTGAGAGTCCGCCCGCGGCGCCCGGAGAGGCAGGTAACCGCCCGTGCCCTCCGCTGCCGCACACAGAGCAGGGCGAACCCCCGGTGGCCGCGGACGCGGTGCCGAGTTGGTAGCTGGCACAGGACCCTCGGGACGCAGCGCGGGTCCGCTGGCGCCGCAGGGGCGCAGAGTTTCCAGCGCAGGAGCTGTGTACCGGGCAGGGCGAGCCTGGAGCGCAGGCCTGGGTCCCCAGCTGGAACAGTCAGGCGGTTCTATGGGGTGATGCCCGATGGTGGCTGGCTGTACAAGCCACAGGGGCTGGGACTCGAACCTAGATGTTCTCTGAGCCCCTGCTCAGCCCGCTAGACCCTGCTGCCTCTGAGGGTGAGGTTGCTGAGGAGAGAACAGCAAAGGAGCCCAAGAAGGTCCTGTGGCAGTATCTGTTTAACCCTTTGGTGAGCAGAAACTCTCTTGCACTTTACACACCCCCTACCCAGTCTTTTGGCTGGCAGTATAGGAAAAGCCACTTTTGTAAGGACACCAATTCCTTGGCTGACTTGAACCAAAGCAACTGCTCCCCTCTGTGACCTGTCTGGAAGCTGTACCAACAGTGGTATGTCTAGCATAGATGCCTCACTATTTTCTTCTGTGTCAGATCAATAGATGGCCCCTGGGTGACCAGATTGGACTGTGGCCTATGTAAACTGATATTGTTCAATTACTGCGGCAAGGGGATGGATGCTTTAAGTAGCATTAGAGAGCGTTTACTGAAGAGACAAGTACATCTGTACTTAAGGTCCAATGCTTATGCCCATTTATTTCCAGTGTTTTCTAGCCACTGTTGTGGATGCCCTGGTGTGAGTCCCACTGTAAAATACAATTTACATTGATGCAGTGGTTTGGGCACCAGCAGAGCTTGTGCAAGCTTCAAACAATATGGAAAATGTTACGGCTCTGAATGAACTGGAGTATTTAATATGGTGTTTTATATGCCTGCCAGCTGCTCTTGCACACTGACTCAACTTGCCTTGAGTTGTACCTTAAGGGAAAACCCTGTGTTGTAACAAATTAGCGCTGTTGCTTTAGGACGAAAGGGTCTGTCACTGTTTTCCAGATCTGTCTTCGGTGGATTTCTTGGAGTGCAGCTAAATAGTTCTTCAGAAATAGCTATTCTGCTTTAAATTCACCCCCTACCTTCTTCCAGAATAACTTTGGTGTGTAGCCAAACTCATAATATATTTCCAGTCTCACGGGATTTCAGTCTAGAGAGGAAGATGAGGTGACTGCTTTGTAAAATCCTTGACAGTCAGCCTGGGGTGTAATGGGGACTTCTCTCAGCTGGCTTCCAAATGTCTTTGGCTGGCATATGAATGGTGCTGATCTCTCACTCAGCTGTGTGAAATGTCTCAGGGCTGCTGGACTTCCCCTTCCACACCCCAAGGATTTGTATCAGCAGGGTGCAGGGGAATGGAAGAAATCTGAATGCTGTTACAAAGCTACTTTGCAAATTGGTGTCATTCTAAACAGACTAGATCACAGGTTTTGAGGTTCCTACCTCCTCCTCTACATAGGTGTTTGAAGCAACTATCATGTTAATCAACTCCAGTTCTTTAAGGAACCCTTGCCTAGTTCCACTTCCCTGACACATGACACAGAAATACATCTAAAGCTCGATGTTTAAGCTCTTTTCCAATTTGTGTCTTTAGATGTAGATCTAGATCTCATGTGCCATACTATTCTGTTTTTCACTAGCATGTTGGATGCTGTTGCCCACAAAGGGAGAATATAACAAGCAAAAACCCCAGCATCTCTTCCCTACTTGTTTACTACCTTTAGAAATATTAAGAATGTCACTTCTGGTCGAAGCTGTCCTTTTCCTGAAGGTCCTATGGGGGTTAGAGCATGAGCTTTGTGCACACTGAATTTAACAGACTGTTTCTAAACTTTTGTCCCCTTGATCAATGTTCTAAAGATTCTTGTGATGTCATAATCTCACTAATTCTCCAGTCACTGGAATCTTCCAGGGTGGACCAGACTGGACCTTCTAGTGTTTTGAAAGCAGTTGTATAGATCTATTATAGCAGAATAACCATCTCCCTCTCAGGGCTGGTCTACACTGGAAATTTATACTGGCATAGCTCCATCTCCCGGGTATGGAAGATCCACACATCTGAGGGATGTAGCTCTAGTGACTTAACCCGGATGTCCATGGTGCTAGGTCACTAGAAGAATTCTTCTGTCTGCTTAGGCCTAGTCTAGACTAGAAAATTAGACCAGTTTAACGGTCAGCCAGGGGTGTAAAAATCCACCCCCTGAGCAGTGTAGTTAAGCCAATCGAAGTCCCAGTGTAGACAGCAGTAGGTTGACAGAAGAGTTTGTCTGGTGACTTAGCACCTACCTACTCTTGGGGTTGGGAAGGTGGATCACTTATGCTGATAGGAGAATCCTTCTCATCATTGTAGGTAGTGTCCACACTGGAGTGCTACAACAGCACAGCTGTAGTGGTGTAAGTGTAGACCTAGCCTAACTCTAATATTCGTTCTTGCAATGAAACCCTCTGCACAGCAAGAATGCATTGTGGAGCTGACCATACTGATGTACTTTTACATAGCTTTAAACTGGCCTTGACCAGGTGCTCACCAGAGCTAGGACCCTGCAGCACTAGTACTTGGCCCAACTTAGTCTCTACTCATCCTGCACCGTAGCATGTCCGTGGCTTTCTGGCTAGATGTCAGACATGGAGAATAAGAGTAGACAAAACTGCTTCTCTCATACCCAGCTTCTCCCTGCCTCAGCTGATGGCCAGAGATCTGATCGATCTCTAATGCAGAAAACCTAAAAATTGTTAAAATAACACTTCACACTGCGTGTGCAGATGCTGCTTCTGATACTGACTGCTTCTTCCATCTGTCCTGATGCCTGCGAACATTGAAGGCAGTAGTGCTTCAATAGAGTCCTCTGAGTTACTAACGTGAACTTTGGGAATGGATGAATGGAAACCAATCAAGTTGTACCTTTGCTTTCTAGAATACCTGGAAATATTGTCCTCGTGCATACTCACCACTCGTGTGGAATCTTGAGCTGGAAGAATCCTGGTTGGAGTTGTCAAGCTGTCTGGAGGATGCTCATTTTGCTAAGGCCGTTCTGCCGAAGTGTTATACTTCACAGCCTTTTAAAACTGAAATGTGCACAGATGTGATTGCTGACCTAGGACATGTGCTCACACAATGGGGATCTCTTGAGACTGGTCAATGACTTCAGAATTGCATCTTCATTAAGCATTTTCACAAGCCGAGCCTTAAGTAAAGTTTATTTATTTTGTATGCCATTATTTTTTATATTGCCCCAGTATGTATGACATCCTCTGTGTACAGTGTTTACCTCTTGTATGTGATGTATGAGACCCATGTTGAGACTTGCTCCTTTGAAGTAATATTCACCAATTCTTTATGCTGTCTTCCTAATGTTTACAGGTATTACAGTTTAATTTTATGTGCAGCTCTTTATATAAGAGGACTGGGACCTTGAGTTTTTAAATATTAAAATTATATTTATTGAGAACATGATGGATAGTTTGAAATATTCCAAACAGCCCTGTGAACTGGTGTCATGCAAAATGTTTTTCTAGACTTTGTCCCTCGTGGAAGGGAATGAGGGATGGGTCTTACGGAAAACAGAGTGTTTGGTAATGTAATTACTGTCGTCATGTATACAGGCTGAATTAACAGTGCGTGGAGAGAAACTGCCTGAATGTAGGCAAACTTCTGAGTGCATGACTCTGCCACCTTACTACTCCCTTAATGGAGATGGTTTTTAAAGTAGTTTTAAAACAGATTTTTCCAAGGCTTAGAACTGTCAAAGGAGGGTAGGTTTTCAAAGGAGGGTAGGTTTTCAGTGGATTATCAAAGACACCTCTCTGCCAAGTTTTAAGTCCCTGCTCCAAAGCAAGGACGTGTTAGTGTCTCAGCAAAACAGCTCCAAGAATCTCTTGGGCACAAATCAAACAATGGGTTTTTTTACCCTCTAGCCTGCTTCTTTAAAATGGCTGAAATGTCAAAAAACTCTGGCAAAGGGGCTGCTGTGGAGAACTTCAACCTGAATAGCTGGAGTTTGGCAAAATTAACAGGTGAATAGGCTCTTACAGGGGAAAGTATTAGGTAACCTTAGCCTGGGATAGGGCTGCCCGCTCCTCTGAGGAACGGGTACCCTGGTGAGGCTTGGGTGTGTTTAGTGACCTCTCCAAACCTGTGCGCTTCAGAGGAGCTGAGTAAAGACCCATTAAGTGAAAGAACAGAAAAGCAAGTCCGAGAGGGAACTTTCTGTACCACCCAATCAGTGCTGGGGCTCCCCTATCCTCTGCTGGCTCTGGCAAGGGACACTAGAAGTGATGCTGAAGGGCTTAGAAAGCAAATGTGCAAAACCTCCTGCTCTTTGTTTACTCTAGCTGTGGGGAGGAGAGGCAGGACAGGGCACAGCAGTATCAATTCACAGGCCTAAGAATAATTCCTAGAAAAATCTCCTCGTGATTGAAAAATTGTCAGTGATGGAGAATCCACCACAGGCCTTGGTAAATTGTTTCAGTGGTTAATTACTTACTGATAAAAGTATGCCTTATTTCCACTCTGGAATCTAGTTTCAGTGTCTAAATATGGGATTGTTAGACCTTTCTCTGCTAGAGTGAAGAGTCCATTACTTAATTTGCCCCTCATGTGCATACTTATAGCCTAATCAATTGTTCTTCCTCACTGCCCATCCACACCAAGAGTAAACTGGGGCTGCCTGTATCCTACCAGTGCTCCTGGCCTCTTGCTAGCTATCTCTGCTGTTCTGAGTCCACTGCAAGCTCCTGAGATGTGATTGCAGAGCCCAGCTCTCTGTGAGTTTTCATGCTCCATCCCTGAGAATGGCAACTGATGGCATAGTGCAGCTTACCCCTTAGAATAGCTGGGCACAGTGCTCTCTGGGTGGAGGAGCTGCTGGTGGCCAATCGCTTCCACTGTAGATTCAGGTCATGAGATTTGCCAGCAGCAGGGTGTGGCCTTCTGTTTAGAGCTGTGCCCTGGGACTATGGGGAGCTGGATTCAGTTCCTGCTGTTCCACTGACCTCCTGTGGGACCTGGGCAAGGGCCTGGATTGCCAAAGGATTTAGGAGCTGGCAGATGCCTAGTGGGATTTTCAAATAAAGCCTTGGCCCCTTTAATACACACGTGCAGTCTTTGCTTCCTTTAGGTGTAAGGCAAGAGATCCTCCTGCACCTATCACAGGTGCTTTAGAAAAGCCCTGTATCTACAGCTTTAGGCACCTAAATACCTTAAAAAATCTGCCTCTTATTCCTTCTGCAGCCTCCATTCTCCAGGGGCGTTGTAAGGATAAGAGTGTTTGGCATTCAGGGGCTACTGTGGTGGTGCCCCACAAGTTCCAAGATCAGTCTCTTCATCCAGGCTTTCCTTAGGGTATAGGCAAGGCCCCTGGCTCCATGTGGGCTCTGAGCATGAGGCTAGGCAAGAGGAGAGCTTGATGAACTGTTTCCCCTGTGTATGGAGGAGTGTTGGCCACCAGGCTCCTGGGATCTAATGCAGCAAGGGATCATGGTGGGGAGAGGGTGCATGGGAGGGTGAAAGATCAGGAGGGATTTAATAGTATGCTCCTCTTTTTAAAAAAAAAAAAAAAAAACACACACACACACCTGTAAACATAGACAATGTCCAGACTAGGCAACAAGCAAAAGCAGTGAGTATAGGTGGAGAGTGAGATTCTCCCTCCCCCTCACCCCTGAGGTCATGTGGCCTGGCCCAGGCTGAGATAACCTGGTAGGATGTATTGAAAACTCATTGTCCAGGCAGTATCCTGTGTAACCTTCGCTTTAAATATTTTCAGTTCATATTTCAAGTGGAAGTAATACCAATAACCAAATCAACTTCTTTAGGTTCTGTCCTCTGGGGTAGTTACAAATAATTTACTGTAGGGGAGAATAAAGAGACAATGTGTGATGGAATCAAAGACTTTATTTCAAAGAGAATAGTTGGTTAAAGCAAACAGGAATTACAGTACAACCCTATGCTGCAATTCTTCTCACATTCCAAGATGAAGTAGTTCATGCAGGGGTGATTAGTCCTGGACAAAAAGAATGGGTCTGTAATCCTTTGTCGTCTTTTCGCTAATGGTATGGTGATGGTGGAGGAGTGTGCTAATCTTAAAATTAGCATGCTACCCTTCCTAAGATCACTATTCTCCCAAAACAGTCCCGTTTCAGCTAATGCTGTGATTAAAATCAGTTAGAACCAAACACGTTTACAACATGACCTGGGGTTATGTCTAACTTGCCTTGAAGCTGTCTTGCTTGACTTCACCCACAATTTTTGACTTTATCCACAGTTTATCAGGCCACACTATTATCAAGCCTAAATGTTGGCCCTGGTCTCGACTTACTTTTCAGCATATTTCCATTTAACATAGACAAACCTCACTTCTTTAGGCTGGTAACCCTGCCATGCAGTGAAGTATGGTGTGGAGTCAAGGCTTTAGAAGTACTCCCCACATGTCTGGGTTGTGGGATGATGCTGGGGTTGGCTTGATACAGAAGGACTCCAACATGTGCACCCACCTGCATTTTGGTTTTTATTTTATTTTGTTTTCATGACAGCCCTAGAGAGGGAACTTCTCAGCCAACATCCCCAAAAGCCCTGATGCTGGGATTGCAGTGGGAGAGGGAGAAATGCTATGAGTTCCCTGCTTTATGTGTGACCAGCCCTTGGTAAGTCTGGGTGCCTGAATCTGTTTCAGTAAAAGACAAAAGTCCCAGTGACATGGATGGAGGAAGAGATGGACCCAAAGGAAGGTCCTGCTAATAACACTTGCCCTCAAGAACTGATTTTAGTGCTAAACTTTTCACCGCATGAACCATCTCTCTAGGCAGACTAGGCACCTGTAGGTCCCCTCTTGTGCTGCCTGCACAGCACAGTAGACATCTGAAGGAAAGAACAGCCTCAAACTGGCTTTGCAGCCTCTTACTCTGCTAGGCTAGAATCTGTTGTTACTTTGTTTCCTGTGCAGGATGATGCTGGTCCGCTGGGCATAAAGCGCTGCTGTCACTTCCATTCCCTGCTGTGAGCTCTGAAAGCCAGAGTGCATCCTAGAAGGAATAATACATGAGCGCTGGGTAATCTAAAATCTCATCAGTTACACTTGAAAGCAGCTCTTCCCTCTCTGATAGGAAAATCAGTATTTACTGCTGCCATTAGAACATCCGAGGCAATGCAGCTTGCCTCAATTAATAACTGGTAAGGCAATATCATTCCATATGCCAAGCAATCATCTGCTCAGCAATTCCGGACAGCGGCTGTGATTCAAAGGAACCCTGGTGTATTTAGATCTTTTAGCTACAGTCGGCAACTGGCAAAAGCCAGTGGGCGGGGAAGGATGTACGCAGTGGTTTTGTGTGTGTGGTGGGTATAGGAGATTGTCTCTTAAGACTTACAGCTAGGCAGATAAGGGAAAGTAATAAAAGTCTGAAAGTATTTAATGTGTGTATATTCTCTGCAGTGCTGGTAGTGACTCCTGTAGTTGTTACTCAGCACTGTCCATTATAAGACCCCGTTTTCAAATTATTATAACTTTGCCAAATTCAAACCATTTGGGCTGAAATTTCCCAGGCCCGGGTGTCCACCTCCACTATAGTGGTTGGACCCTGTCTGAGAATGAGGCTGGAGAAAATGTGGTGTTTTGCCTGTGTTCAAAATAATTAAATTCTTGCCATTGTTTCACTGAGATGCTCTCGTGCCCCCATGCTTTGGATCAGGGACTCTCTCTCTCTCTCTCTCTCTCTCTGTGTACATGCTTGCAAGTGATGTTTGTGTCAAGGATCTGCCTTTTGCCATCTCTGGAATAACTTGGCCTAAATTTGGCCAAATTATAAACCTTTGAAAAAATCTCAGCTCACATTTGCTCCATAGTGACTTCTTAGAGTTTGCACTGAGGTTCCATCTGCACTGAGCATGTGCCACCCCCTCAGCTCCTGTGTATGGACCAGGACTATGCATGTGACATCCCCAAAGAGCAACTGAGCATGCTCCACCCCAGGGCTGAGCTGTGCTTTCTTTGCAATTGCTCCAGAGCTGAGAGCAGGGTTCTTGGTGCCCCCTTTGCTGGCACCCAGGCAGTGTGAAAGGTGAAAGCCACTGAACTCAGATGCAGAGGGGGAGGATCAGGGAGGCAGAGAAGAAACACCGGGAAGGGGCTGAGGAGCTAGGGAGAGTTAGGTGCAAGAGCTGGGAGGGGGAACAGAGCAGGAGCAGATGGCAGCAGAGGTGCAGGAGGCACGGAACATGGAAAGGAGTTGGGGCAAAGGAGGAGGGCAGAGCCAGAAGCAAGGGAGGAAGTGGTAAGACAAGCAGGAGCTGAGATGATCCCATCGGAGGCAGCAGGGATAGGAGCTGGGGAGGGGGCAGAAGAGGTTGTAAACACTAGCGCAGCATTCCTTTGCTGTTCAGAAAACAGCTGTGAAACCTGCTGGCAAAGTATGTGTCCCCATCACCCTCTAATAACAGGTCCACATAGAAGGT